GGGGGGGGGGGACTACGCAGTGAGGGCGATAGCTTTGATGCATGAGGGCCACCGACTGCGTGATTGAGTCATGTGCGCCTATGTTGGTAACCATTAGTGAGTTAAGTCTCGGAGTCCCTATTCATGGAGAGGGCAGATGTCGACCCAGCTCAATTTGCTGGTTAGTGTTTTCATACCTTGTTGCCATGCCATAGATTTTTCGCTTCTCGGCACAGGGGTGAGCGAAGGGCTCTGCGAGGCAGACGGTTCTCTGGCATACGGAGTACATGCAATAACCATAGTAAATTACGAAACATCCATCGTAGGGGTTTTCCCATTCCCAAAGTCATCTGGCCTACGTCAGCATTGTTATACGATGTTCCCATCAAATCCGGCCAACGCTTCAGAGACACTGAAGCATCGGTCAAGCAATGATAGCTTTCGTATGTCCTCTGTACTTAGAAGCCATGTTTCTGATCCACGAAGCAGTATGGATCGCACCGAGACATTGTATACTTTGTCCTTGACAAACTGGTCTGTGTACTCAGATGGGTATGCGTGTCTATTCGGTTATGAATTTTTACAGCCAAAAAGACACCTCAAGGACATAAACTTCTCCAGTGTAGGACGGTAGCAATGTTCATGCTACATAGTACGAATAGGTCATCATCATCGACAGCATGACATCAGCGTTCAACACCAATGCTTCACTGCCGTAGTAGAAACCGCAATTCTTACAAACTCATACTTCTAAACCTAATTTGGGTCTTTATGTAGTAAAGCTCAACAGAATAGTGACAGTCTGATTGCAACTATTTTTCCCACCATGGGGTGGTCGAAGTGGAAAATGACGCGTTCCAGCACCATCACTCTGTGCAAGAAATAGCTAACTTATCCATTTCCGGTAATGGAACATAACTGTCCCGAGACAATTGTGGTGAGAGCTTGTCAAAAATATGTATTTCTACAGCTCAAGTAAGTAAGCGCACGTTCATCTGTGAATTACGGATATCAGGAGACACCGGGCACTAGTTCGGCAGGACGGACAATCACTTGCTTTTTTGAAAAACCACCATCCGATTCGACGATCAGATAACGATATTCAAAATCTTTGGCGTCATTCTAAAACGGACGAAAGACGAGATAAGTCGAGCAAAAATACAGTATTATAAAGATTGCAACAAGATTACGATCGCACGAACTAAGAAGCATTCCAATGCATACATCACAGAATCACGTAGTTGAAAACACACACTGAAATATTTAGATAGGTAAGGGACGCGGGGCATACCAGTAAAATGAAACGGAGCCAACAGCTCGAAGAGAATAAATAACGGGAACAGTGTTAGTCAGGAACTCCAGCTTTTTGTCTCCACCAGGTGGGTAGGAGACATTCAAAAGTCAAACGTATCGACAGGATCTACTCAGTTCGGAATAAACAAACACAGATCGAATAGCAAGTGGACTGCACACGAATGCCAATAGATTAGTATACGGTGACCAGACTATAATCGAGGAAGGGTTTATATGAATGCATGAGGTCGCATATGCAAATGTTTAGACAGTTCTCAGTGAGTGCAGTGCTGATCTCGAACCTGAACTAAGGAACTACTCTCGTATGACTCTTCCTACGCATAAATTGGTGCTCAACTAGGAAATGGGGTTGATGGAAAGCCAGAATTTTGCCTACCCGATAATCTTCAATAAAATTGAAAACCGGCGCTGGGCTACCGATAAGTTTTGATCAGCCTTATGAGTAGTGTCACAGGTTTTTCTCGTTGCGACGTCAGAGAGGAAAAACTCCACTTTAAAATGAGACGGATTTGTGACTGGAAATCTAGACAACNACCGATAAGTATCAGCCTTATGAGTAGTGTGTCACAGGTTTTTCTCGTTGCGACGTCAGAGAGGAAAAACTCCACTTTAAAATGAGACGGACGGATGACTGGAAATCTAGACAACGGCGATGAAACAGAATATGAAACTCTCTCTGATATATATATATATATATATATATATAT